TTTAAGTGAAAATGATTTAGTATAGTCAAAACAGTGAAATGTTTAAGTGAAAATGATTTAGTGTAAAATGAAATGTTTAAGTGAAAATGATTTAGTGTAGTCAAAAAACAGTGAAATGTTTAAGTGAAAATGATTTAGTGTAGATTTAGTGTACAAAACAGTGAAATGTTTAAAAACAGTGAATGTTTAAGAAAAAATGATTTAGTGTAGTCAAAACAGTGATTTAGTGTAGTCAGACAAAACAGTCAGATGTTTAAGTGAAAATGATTTAGTGTCGTCAAAACAGTGAAATGTTTAAGTGAAAATGATTTACTGTAGTCAAAACAGTGAAATGTTGCAGTAAAAATTATTTAGAGTATTCAAAACAGTGAGATGTTTAAGTGAAAATGATTTAGTGTCGTCAAAACAGTGAAATGTTTAAGTGAAAATGATTTACTGTAGTCAAAACAGTGAAATGTTTAAGTGAAAATGATTTAGTGTAGACAAAACAGTGAATGTTACACTGAAAATGATTTAGTGTAGTCAAAACAGTGAAATGTTTAAGTGAAAATGATTTACTGTAGTCAAAACAGTGAAATGTTGCAGTAAAAATTATTTAGAGTATTCAAAACAGTCAGATGTTTAAGTGAAAATGATTTAGTGTCGTCAAAACAGTGAAATGTTTAAGTGAAAATGATTTACTGTAGAAATGTTCAAGTGAAAAAAACAGTGAAAAGTGAAAATGATTTAGAGTTAAAACAATGAAATGTTAAAGTGAAAATGATTTAGTGTAGACAAACAGTGAAATGTTCAAGTGAAAATGATTTAGTGTAGTCAAAACAGTGAGATGTTTAAATGAAAATGATTTAGTGTAGACAAACAGTGAAATGTTTAAGTGAAAATGATTTAGTGTAGTCAAAACAGTGAATGTTACACTGAAAATGATTTAGTGTAGTCAAAACAGTGAAATGTTTAAGTGAAAATGAGTAAGTGAAGACAAAACAGTCAGATGTTTAAGTGAAAATTAAGTAGTGTAGTTAAAACAGTGAAATGTTTAGGTGAAAATGATTTACTGTAGTCAAAACAGTGAAATGTTACAGTGAAAATGATTTAGTGTAGTCAAAACAGTGAAATGTTTTGGTGAAAATAATTTAGTGTAGTCAAAACAGTGAATGTTACATTGAAAATGATTTAGTGTAGTCAAAACAGTGAAATGTTTAAGTGAAAATGATTTAGTGTAGTCAACACAGTGAGATGTTACAGTGAAAATGATTTAGTGTAGTCAAAACGGTGAGATGTTACAGTGGAAATGATTTTGTTTAGTTAAAACAGTGAAATGTTTAAATGAAAATGATTTCGTGTAGACAAAACAGTGAAAATGATTTAGTTTAGACAAAACAGTGAGATGTTAAAGTGAAAATTATTTAGTGTAGTCAAAACAGTGAGATGTTCAAGTCAAAATGATTTAGTGTAGTCAAAACAGTGAAATGTTTAAGTGAAAATGATTTAGTGTAGATGTTTAAAAATGATTTATGTTTGAAGTTTAAAAAATGATTTAGTGTAGTCAAAACAGTGAAATGTTTAAGTGAAAATGATTTAGTGTAGAAAACAGTGAAATGTTTAAGTGAAAATGATGAAATTAGTGTATTTAGTCAAACCAGTGAAATGTTTAAGTGAAAATGATTTGGTGTAGACAAAACAGTGAAAAAAACAGATTTAGTGAAAATGATTTAGTGTGAAATGTTTAAGTGAAAATGATTTAGTGTAGTCAAAACATTGAGATGTTAGAGAGAAAATGATTTAGTGTAGTCAAAACAGTGAAATGTTTAAGTGAAAATGATTTAGTGTAGAAAACAGTGAAATGTTTAAAGTGAAAATGATTTAGTGTAGAAAAACAGTGAAATGTTACAAGTGAAAATGATTTAGTGTAGTCAAAACAGTGAAATGTTTAATTGAAAATGATTTAGTGTAGTCAAAACAGTGAAATGTTTACAAAATGAAATGTGAAAATGAGATGTTTAAGTGAAAATGATTTACTGTAGTCAAAACAGTGAAATATTTAAGTGAAAATGATTTAGTGTAGACAAACAGCGAAATGTTCAAGTGAAAATGATTTAGTGTAGTCAACACAGTGAGATGTTACAGTGAAAATGATTTAGTGTAGTCAAAACAGTGTTTAAATGAAAATGATTTAGTGTAGACAAAACATTGAGATGTTTAAGTGAAAATGATTTAGTGTAGACAAACAGTGAAATATTTAAGTGAAAATGATTTACTGTAGTCAAAACAGTGAGATGTTTAAGTGAAAATGATTCAGTGTAGACAAAACTGTGAGATGTTTAAGTGAAAATGATTTAGTGTAGTCAACACAGTGAAAGTGAAAATTTAGTGTAGACAAAACAGTGAATGATGATTTAGTGTAGACAAAACAGTGAATGTTACACTGAAAATGATTTAGTGTAGTCAAAACAGTGAAATGTTTAAGTGAAAATGATTTACTGTAGTCAAAACATTGAGATGTTAGAGTGAAAATGATTTAGTGTAGTCAAAACAGTGAAATATTTAAGTGAAAATGATTTACTGTAGTCAAAACATTGAGATGTTAGAGTGAAAATGATTTAGTGTAGTGAAAACAGTAAGATGTTTAAGTGAAAATGATCTAGTGCAGCCAAAACAGTGAAATATTTAAGTGAAAATGATTTAGTGTAGTCAACACAGTGAGATGTTAAAGTGGAAATGATTTAGTGTAGTCAAAACAGTGAGATGTTTAAGTGAAAATGATTTAGTGTAGTCAAAACAGTGAAATATTTAAGTGAAAATGATTTAGTGTAGTCAAAACAGTGAGATGTTACAGTGAAAATGATTTAGTGTAGACAAAACAGTGAAATGTTTAAGTGAAAATGATTTAGTGTAGACAAAACAGTGAAATGTTTAAGTGAAAATGATTTAGTGTAGACAAAACAGTGAGATGTTTAAGTGAAAATGATTTAGTGTAGACAAAACAGTGAGATGTTTAAGTGAAAATGATTTAGTGTAGTCAAAACAGTGAGATGTTTAAGTGAAAATGATTTAGTGTAGACAAAACAGTGAAATGTTACAGTGAAAATGATGTGTAAAAAACAGTGATTGTTTAAGTGTAGACAAAACAGTGAGATGTTAAAGTGAAAATGATTAAGTGTAGACAAACCAGTGAAATGTTAGAGTGAAAATGATTTAGTGTAGACAAAACAGTGAAATGTTGAAGTGAAAATGATTCAGTGTAGCGAAAACAGTGAAATGTTTAAGTGAAAATGATTTAGTGTAGACAAAACAGTGAGATGTTACAGTGAAAATGATTTAGTGTAGACAAACAGTGAAATGTTTAAATGAAAATGATTTAGTGTAGACAAACAGCGAAATGTTCAAGTGAAAATGATTTAGTGTAGTCAACACAGTGAGATGTTTAAATGAAAATGATTTAGTGTAGACAAACAGTGAAATGTTAAAATGAAAATGATTTAATGCAGACAAACAGTGAAATGTTCAAGTGAAAATGATTTAGTGTAGACAAAACAGTGAAATGTTACAGTGAAAATAAATTAGTTTAGTTAAAACAGTGAGATGTTTAAATGAAAATGATTTAGTGTAGACAAACAGTGAAATGTTTAAATGAAAATGATTTAGTGTAGACAAACAGTGAAATGTTTTCGTGAAAATGATTTTGTGTAGCAAAACAGTGAACTGACTTGAAACTGAACCATTTAGAAAACGTGATTGACACACATTCATACACATGTGTTTTGCAAATAAAAATATGTTTTTGTAATTGGAAGGTCAGGCATCAAAACAGCTGATTTCATCAAAAATGGAGATATTATAATGTATGTAAAAATGTATTTCGTTGACTGTATTTTGTTTAAAAAAGAATCATGATTGACTTGAAACTGAAGAATGATTATGAGAAAACGTTACTGCAGCTCCATTGTCATTACATTCATACACATCACTGTCCCAAAATAAAAATATTTTCAGTTTAATTTAGCGCCGTGTGTGTAAGACATTGTATGTATCTGGGTTGTCCTGGGCAACGCTATATGCCCCCGGCCATAAATGGCGGGGGCATAAGAAAGGTTTTCATTGTCATAAATTATTCCCTTTACTAAATCTTAATTTAGCGCCGTGTTTGTATGTATCTGGGTTGTCCTACGTCAGAAATTGTTGAGGCCAATAACATTCAAAATCAGGCAATGTTTTGGTCCTTACATCTCTTTCCCAATGTGAAGGACTGTCGATCGAGGTCAATGTCATTATCAGTTGATATTTGCATAAACATGCAGATGAGAAATTTAAAGACGATATATCTGGTTATATTGTTGCAAAATATTTCCATCGGCCAATCAGATGCTGTGTTACATCTGAAGTGAAGGAGAATATAAATTATATCTGGAAAATTACTGAAGATTTTTTTACTGCTTGTGTTAGTGTGATTACATCAGTAAACTGTAGGTCTTGATCTTTACTGTACAACTTTTCATGGGGAATTACTTCCATTAACTTTACGAATACTCTTACCCCACTAATTCATATGTCTATGAACTGTTCAAATAAGACGATTATTGAGCTTTATGATCCAGGAAATCAAGAGTCCACAAAACAATAACTCATTTTTTTGAAAACATCTTGAAATTTGAGCTCAACAAAAATGACTTACAGTACTCTTAAGTAGATTTTCTGATGTGATAAATCATTCAATATGAACGTTATCTCTACAACAGCATCAGCCTGCATTTCTTGGGTGTTGTTCTGAATATATAAATGAGTTTCCATGTCTACAGTACAGGTGTTTGATAGGAAAATTGTTTGAATGAATTTCTGCCACATTTCATCACAAAGTATTAAACTCACAGTTGACGATACAGACATTGCACCGTATAAAAAACCAATTAAACAAATAAAAACGATACAATGGAACTGTATGTAAGTCAAAAGCTGAGTTCAAAATATCATGATTATCTTAAAAAACTGAAATTATTTGAAACACATTCTTTTTCTTCTTTATTACAAAATAATCAATCACGTTTTTATACACAATTCATAAAAAACAATAAAGGCAACCAGAAATTAACACAGTAATCAACCCTATGGGTTTTCTTTAAGAAATTCAACAAAGAAGATACAAGAAACCAGCCATTAACAGGGTAAAGTAAAGCAGGAAGGGAGGTAACTCCATTTTGATATTCCAGGTTCACATGTTTAGTTTACAAAACAATACTGAAGACTGTTTTAGTTCAGTCAAACAGACAGAAAACTGTCAACAACAAAATGTCTTCTGACAAGACAATGATTTGGTGAAACACTACAGCATACATATCAATGAATGATGAATTCTCCGATCCGGTCCCATCTGTCATTCATTTCGTCAATGATGATAAAAACATGAAAGTACACACTGCTGTTGGGCGATTTTGTGCTTAGCACTGATAAAGTTCCCATACAGTAACATGTCTGTATGCAGTCGTTATAAACACTGATAAAGTTCCAATATTGTAACATGTCTGTATGCAGTCGTTATAACACTGATAAAGTTCCCATATTGTAACATGTCTGTATGCAGTCGTTATAACACTGATAAAGTTCCAATATTGTAACATGTCTGTATGCAGTCGTTATAACACTGATAAAGTTCCCATATTGTAACATGTCTGTATGCAGTCGTTATAACACTGATAAAGTTCCAATATTGTAACATGTCTGTATGCAGTCGTTATAACACTGATAAAGTTCCCATATTGTAACATGTCTGTATGCAGTCGTTATAACACTGATAAAGTTCCCATATTGTAACATGTCTGTATGCAGTCGTTATAACACTGATAAAGTTCCAATATTGTAACATGTCTGTATGCAGTCGTTATAACACTGATAAAGTTCCAATATTGTAACATGTCTGTATGCAGTCGTTATAACACTGATAAAGTTCCCATATTGTAACATGTCTGTATGCAGTCGTTATGACACTGATAAAGTTCCCATATTGTAACATGTCTGTATGCAGTCGTTATGACACTGATAAAGTTCCCATATAGTAACATGTCTGTATGCAGTCGTTATAACACTGATCAAGTTCCAATATTGTAACATGTCTGTATGCAGTCGTTATAACACTGATAAAGTTCCCATATTGTAACATGTCTGTATGCAGTCGTTATAACACTGATAAAGTTCCCATATTGTAACATGTCTGTATGCAGTCATTATAAATCTCACTGAGTACAGTATCAAACACCTACATCAGGACACCAACATGTGTTGGTGAGCGATCTCATTGTCACGATCGATGGACCATGAAACACTACAACAGTAATGCTCTACAGCTCAGTAAGGACTTAGTGAAGTCTACCACCTTAATTAACCAACTTAATTCCAAAACAATGAAAAAAACATTAATTTTAAAAATGGTTCTGCTAGTGACAGACTTTCAAAACTCATTTCAAACCTTCTCTTTCATATTTTTTGATAACTGAAGATATTTTTTCACCAGTGAAATACATTCTTATTCCTCAGTAATTAGTCTGACAAGGTTTTAGAAAACTTGTGGAATCCATTAATGTACTGTCATAAGTTATATATGAAATTCTATAGATAAGCAGATCTAACACTGACAATGACATTATATATTTTCTATATGAAGAACTTCAGAACAGCCACATGTACTACAAGTGATATCTTCTTTCCATTAAAAAGTCATCTGAAGCGATATTTTATTTGAAGTCCGCGAAAACACATCATTTACTGTTCTTTTGGGATTACATCAGGACGATGTTATACTCTTTATGATAATTATGAAATCATATTCGACAAGTCAAGTGAAATGCTTATCTGCCATTTTAGTGATAAACTTTTTGATGTAATGATAAACGCAGTAAAATTCCTTTTGATCTTTATCACCCTGTACAGTAAACAGCAGCGAAGCTGTACTACCAGCCACGATGGACTTAACAATAAAATTATATTCAACAATAGGAGACTTAGCGGTTTTGAAGTGGTCGTAGTAAAGGCGTTCTGATACAGCTTGTTCTAGTTCGACACTATCCGAGTATCCACGCGCCTTAAAGGCAGCCATAAACTTTTTACGTTCTGCCCATGTTCTGCAGAAAATCTTTATATCCATATCAAGATACACATCTGCATCCTCATAGTCAGTTTGATTCTCTTCATCCATCGGCACTTCTTGTTGCACTGCGGCAGCCTCCGCCCCCTCTGTTGATTTAGAATCTGTTCCCTCACCAGGCATGGCTTCCATTCCTGGACCAGCTAAGACACTCACAGTTGCTTTAGCACTATTTTGTCCTTCTGTAGAAGTTGCAGGTTTCTCTGTTGTTGTTCCCGTTTTGGTTTTCTTGTTCTCAGCCTCCTGTGACTCCGAGCTGTTCGCACGCTTTCTTCCTTTTGTTTTGTGGTCATAATAACGAGACTTTGGCAGCGGTTCTGTCAAATTTGTTTTGTTGATTTCTATATCATACATAAGTACACGCTCCAGAATACCATATGCGAAAACACACATTTTCCTGCACCAAGCCACCTGTAGGTTTCCAGTCTTTCTTAACGTATGAATCAAGCCTTGATCCAAGGCATCCACCTTGAGTTCTAGAGTAAACTGGTATTCTCCAAGCTGGATTCCAGAGCTTGTTTTACTGGTCAGATCAGAAAATTCCTGGAATACAAATATCCCATTTAGGTCATTTTAAGCTTTCAAGCATATCAGCAACTTTATTTATCTTTATCTCAATCCTCTACCTTTCCCCCAGGCTATCTGCAATCTGTTTCACAGACATTTTCCTATTGAAGGTGTTATCTAAAAATATTTTGAAGAATTTTTGACACAAATTTTACTGATTCCATTTTCAGTAGCACTGAAGATTTCTGAAATAACAAAATGACCATATTGTGTAAAATATATTCTCTTTGTTTACCTACTGGTGATAGGATTCCTTATTCTGTACTTCTAGTGTTTAAATGAAAGGAATTGATTTCCATTTAATTTTAGACCACAACTTTATAATTTTTCTAGCTTTATACTAAACTAACCCCACATTTGCAAAAAAAAGTTGTGTTGTTTGTTTTACTGTAAAGCATTGATTAAGTCATACCAGAAGACAAGAACATGATAACCTTTGACCTTAAAAGTGAGACAGTTGTTGTACAAATGGGACTCACCACTCCCTCAGGGACATCCTCTGTAAACAGATCCAGTATAGTCTTGGAGGCAGTTTTCTCTGGTTGTTTCCACTTTGCTGCTTTTGCTGCCGCAATGCGAAACTCTACGGCAATGAGTTGTCGTGTCTTCTCATTGATGTTGAATGTTATATTATGATCCAACACAAATGGATCCTGGATATTAAAGAACCCCATCTAAAAAACACAACATAAGCAAACTTTGAAACATTCCAATTAACACAAAGTTGATCTTTTCTTTGTCTTTCCCCTTTTTCTACTTCATCATTTGATGACATGTGGAAAAATAAAAACAATCCAACAAATGACAGCAAACTTCAACTGACAAAATCCAAGATCCATCTCAATATTGCTGAAAAATCTTCTCTTAAAGGGGCGACATTTATACAAAGGCCACATTTTCTGTGATAACATACTTCAACTGACAAAATCCAAGATCCATCTCAATATTGCTGAAAAATCTTCTCTTAAAGGGGCGACATTTATACAAAGGCCACATTTTCTGTGATAACATACTTCAACTGACAAAATCCAAGATCCATCTCAATATTGCTGAAAAATCTTCTCTTAAAGGGGCGACATTTATACAAAGGCCACATTTTCTGTGATAACATACTTCAACTGACAAAATCCAAGATCCATCTCAATATTGCTGAAAAATCTTCTCTTAAAGGGGCGACATTTATACAAAGGCCACATTTTCTGTGATAACATACTTCAACTGACAAAATCCAAGATCCATCTCAATATTGCTGAAAAATCTTCTCTTAAAGGGGCGACATTTATACAAAGGCCACATTTTCTGTGATAACATACTTCAACTGACAAAATCCAAGATCCATCTCAATATTGCTGAAAAATCTTCTCTTAAAGGGGCGACATTTATACAAAGGCCACATTTTCTGTGATAACATACTTCAACTGACAAAATCCAAGATCCATCTCAATATTGCTGAAAAATCTTCTCTTAAAGGGGCGACATTTATACAAAGGCCACATTTTCTGTGATAACATACTTCAACTGACAAAATCCAAGATCCATCTCAATATTGCTGAAAAATCTTCTCTTAAAGGGGCGACATTTATACAAAGGCCACATTTTCTGTGATAACATACTTCAACTGACAAAATCCAAGATCCATCTCAATATTGCTGAAAAATCTTCTCTTAAAGGGGCGACATTTATACAAAGGCCACATTTTCTGTGATAACATACTTCAACTGACAAAATCCAAGATCCATCTCAATATTGCTGAAAAATCTTCTCTTAAAGGGGCGACATTTATACAAAGGCCACATTTTCTGTGATAACATACTTCAACTGACAAAATCCAAGATCCATCTCAATATTGCTGAAAAATCTTCTCTTAAAGGGGCGACATTTATACAAAGGCCACATTTTCTGTGATAACATACTTCAACTGACAAAATCCAAGATCCATCTCAATATTGCTGAAAAATCTTCTCTTAAAGGGGCGACATTTATACAAAGGCCACATTTTCTGTGATAACATACTTCAACTGACAAAATCCAAGATCCATCTCAATATTGCTGAAAAATCTTCTCTTAAAGGGGCGACATTTATACAAAGGCCACATTTTCTGTGATAACATACTTCAACTGACAAAATCCAAGATCCATCTCAATATTGCTGAAAAATCTTCTCTTAAAGGGGCGACATTTATACAAAGGCCACATTTTCTGTGATAACATACTTCAACTGACAAAATCCAAGATCCATCTCAATATTGCTGAAAAATCTTCTCTTAAAGGGGCGACATTTATACAAAGGCCACATTTTCTGTGATAACATACTTCAACTGACAAAATCCAAGATCCATCTCAATATTGCTGAAAAATCTTCTCTTAAAGGGGCGACATTTATACAAAGGCCACATTTTCTGTGATAACATACTTCAACTGACAAAATCCAAGATCCATCTCAATATTGCTGAAAAATCTTCTCTTAAAGGGGCGACATTTATACAAAGGCCACATTTTCTGTGATAACATACTTCAACTGACAAAATCCAAGATCCATCTCAATATTGCTGAAAAATCTTCTCTTAAAGGGGCGACATTTATACAAAGGCCACATTTTCTGTGATAACATACTTCAACTGACAAAATCCAAGATCCATCTCAATATTGCTGAAAAATCTTCTCTTAAAGGGGCGACATTTATACAAAGGCCACATTTTCTGTGATAACATACTTCAACTGACAAAATCCAAGATCCATCTCAATATTGCTGAAAAATCTTCTCTTAAAGGGGCGACATTTATACAAAGGCCACATTTTCTGTGATAACATACTTCAACTGACAAAATCCAAGATCCATCTCAATATTGCTGAAAAATCTTCTCTTAAAGGGGCGACATTTATACAAAGGCCACATTTTCTGTGATAACATACTTCAACTGACAAAATCCAAGATCCATCTCAATATTGCTGAAAAATCTTCTCTTAAAGGGGCGACATTTATACAAAGGCCACATTTTCTGTGATAACATACTTCAACTGACAAAATCCAAGATCCATCTCAATATTGCTGAAAAATCTTCTCTTAAAGGGGCGACATTTATACAAAGGCCACATTTTCTGTGATAACATACTTCAACTGACAAAATCCAAGATCCATCTCAATATTGCTGAAAAATCTTCTCTTAAAGGGGCGACATTTATACAAAGGCCACATTTTCTGTGATAACATACTTCAACTGACAAAATCCAAGATCCATCTCAATATTGCTGAAAAATCTTCTCTTAAAGGGGCGACATTTATACAAAGGCCACATTTTCTGTGATAACATACTTCAACTGACAAAATCCAAGATCCATCTCAATATTGCTGAAAAATCTTCTCTTAAAGGGGCGACATTTATACAAAGGCCACATTTTCTGTGATAACATACTTCAACTGACAAAATCCAAGATCCATCTCAATATTGCTGAAAAATCTTCTCTTAAAGGGGCGACATTTATACAAAGGCCACATTTTCTGTGATAACATACTTCAACTGACAAAATCCAAGATCCATCTCAATATTGCTGAAAAATCTTCTCTTAAAGGGGCGACATTTATACAAAGGCCACATTTTCTGTGATAACATACTTCAACTGACAAAATCCAAGATCCATCTCAATATTGCTGAAAAATCTTCTCTTAAAGGGGCGACATTTATACAAAGGCCACATTTTCTGTGATAACATACTTCAACTGACAAAATCCAAGATCCATCTCAATATTGCTGAAAAATCAGGCCACATTTTCTGTGATAACATCTTCAACTGACAAATCCAAGATATCTCAATATTGTAAAAATCTTCTCTTAAAGGACCACATTTTCTGTGATAAATGACTGCATATGATGAAAACATCCAGTTTTGAGCTTACCTTCATAGGTATTGCTAGGTTTGCTGCTTCTGAAACAGCAAATGGCTGCCCTGTCCGCATAATCATACCCATAGTGTGGAAATCAAACTCGGCATAGAAGGAGAAAAATCCAGCTAACAGGTCCTCTAGGAACACAAATTAGTAGATCTGAGCAAAACTCTACAGGTATTTTATATTGTTAAAAATTTACAATTTACATAATTATCTGCATTCTGTATTTTTTTCAGTTCTTTGTCAAACTACAAATAGTTATGTCTTACTTTTTATCATTTAATTTATTTTGGAGTCCCTGGGTCAGCTAGATGTTTTACTGGAATAGCCCTCGGTAGATTTTGCACCATTTAATGAACATACAGCCTTGAATTCAGTTGTATAATATTACCTGTTGTCTGTGAATTCATGGTAGGAGGTATGAACTGTGCAGCCACAAAGGAGCAATCCCAGCGATTGATTATGGTACGTTGATTACCTGGAAAGTAAAACATCACTAGAAATAAGATTTGGTGATGTTGTAATCATTGTTCTACCATTTCCTGTACAACACACTACACAGATCAACCACTTCCTGTAGAACACACTACACAAATCTACCACATATTTAATACAACATCTTACCAGCATATAATATTTCCTGTACCATCTATCACATAGAAATACCATTTCCTGTATCATCTACCACACAGAAATACCATTTCCTGTACAACACACCAAACAGATCAGCCATTTCCTGTACCATCTATTACACAGAAATACCATTTCCTGTACTATATATCACACAGAAATACCATTCCCTGTACTATATATCACATAGAAATACCATTTCCTGTATCATCTACCACACAGAAATACCATTTCCTGTATCATCTACCACACAGAAATACCATTTCACACACCAATAGCCATTTCCTGTACCATCTATTACACAGAAATACCATTTCCTGTACCATCTATCACATAGAAATACCATTTCCTGTACCATCTATCACACAGAAATACCATTTCCTGTATCATCTATCACACAGAAATACCATTTCCTGTATCATCTACCACACAGAAATACCATTTCCTGTACAACACACCAAACAGATCAGCCATTTCCTGTACCATCTATTACACAGAAATACCATTTCCTGTACAATATACCACACAGAAATACCATTTCCTGTACCATCTATCACACAGAAATACCATTTCCTGTACCATCTATCACACAGAAATACCATTTCCTGTACAGCCTGCCACACAGAAATACCATTCCCTGTACTATATATCACACAGAAATACCATTCCCTGTACTATATATCACACAGAAATACCATTCCCTGTACTATATATCACACAGAAATACCATTCCCTGTACTATATATCACACAGAAATACCATTTCCTGTACTATATATCACACAGAAATACCATTTCCTGTATCATATATCACACAGAAATACCATTTCCTGTACTATATATCACACAGAAATACCATTCCCTGTACTATATATCACACAGAAATACCATTTCCTGTACCATCTATCACACAGAAATACCATTCCCTGTACTATATATCACACAGAAATACCATTCCCTGTACTATATATCACACAGAAATACCATTCCCTGTACTATATATCACACAGAAATACCATTTCCTGTATCATATATCACACAGAAATACCATTTCCTGTACTATATATCACACAGAAATACCATTCCCTGTACTATATATCACACAGAAATACCATTTCCTGTACCATCTATCACACAGAAATACCATTCCCTGTACTATATATCACACAGAAATACCATTCCCTGTACTATATATCACACAGAAATACCATTTCCTGTATCATATATCACACAGAAATACCATTTCCTGTATCATATATCACACAGAAATACCATTTCCTGTACTATATATCACACAGAAATACCATTCCCTGTACTATATATCACACAGAAATACCATTTCCTGTACCATCGATCACACAGAAATACCATTTCCTGTACAGCCTGCAACACAGAAATACCATTTCCTGTACAGCCTGCAACACAGAAATACCATTCCCTGTACTATATATCACACAGAAATACCATTTCCTGTACCATCTATCACACAGAAATACCATTTCCTGTACCATCTATCACACAGAAATACCATTTCCTGTACCATCTATCACACAGAAATACCATTTCCTGTATCATATATCACACAGAAATACCATTCCCTGTACTATATATCACACAGAAATACCATTCCCTGTACTATATATCACACAGAGATACCATTTCCTGTACCATCTATCACACAGAAATACCATTTCCTGTACCATCTATCACACAGAAATACCATTTCCAGTACAGCCTGCAACACAGAAATACCATTTCCTGTACTATATATCAAACAGAAATACCATTCCCTGTACTATATATCACACAGAAATACCATTCCCTGTACTATATATCACACAGAAATACCATTTCCTGTATCATATATCACACAAAAATACCATTCCCTGTACTATATATCACACAGAAATACCATTCCCTGTATCATATATCACACAGAAATACCATTTCCTGTACTATATATCACACAGAAATACCATTCCCTGTACCATCTATCACACAGAAAAACCATTTCCTGTACCATATATCACACAGAAATACCATTTCCTGTACAACATACCACACAGATCAGCCATTTCCTGTACGGTGGGCAGCACCTTCGGACGAACATTCTGAAGGTAGTAGATGACCATGAGAGTGAGAGCGTAGTTGGAGAGACATGGTCCTGCTCGTGGGTTCCCCGCTATCCCTTTCAGTTTGGCCCAGTACCGTACTACGTACACAATTGGACGTACTCGCTGATCATACAGACTCAACGTCTGTAGAAGACGGGTATTCTGTAGGGCCAATCTACAGAATAACAGCGATTGCTTTAACAATATCAACCCTAGCCATTTTAAAGTAACTTTGGGACATTATATCAGTGTTGAGTACAAGATAGTTCAAAGATAACTGGACAAACAACAATGTGAATAGACAGACAGGTTACGATAGAGACAATATATGAAGGCAGTTCCATGTGTTGTCGAGGCTGCAAAACTGCATGTTATAATAACTGATTATTTGACCAAAAATTTAGGACAAAGAATTTGAAGATGAACATCATACAAAGCATGAAATAGTTTATCTAGATATATTTTCTAAGTACACACTTCATTTTCTATTTGCAAAATTAATCATTTCGAAAATGCCTGTTGATCTCAGGAAAATTTTAACATGAAAAATCAGTAAAATTTCACTTACTTGTTATCAATGGAAAGATCACACTTAATGCCAGATTCCAGATGTGTGAAGCGTACAATTGGACAGCGATTGCTTGGTATTAAAGTCAAGTCAGAACAGGCTGGTGCATGTTCGATGAGGATTCGCAAAATTAGCTTTGCTTTATCTATGGTCATCAGCTTGACGATATCATCATGACCTAGTGGCCCCTTCTGTTTCTTCAGGAACCTAATGTCCCGTACGTATGGCAATTCTATAGCCTACAGGGATATCAATATATCATACATAAAATACATTGACAACGAAACGGAGCATGTGGACTAGTTTGTTTAATTTATAATTTTTGTGAACAGCACATTATACCAAGATTTGTAAGATTTATAAACAAATACATGGAATTCCAACACAAGAAAACAAGAATAATTGCTTACCTGTGAACCACTGGGTATACCCAAATTTGTAAGGTCTATAAATACATCTATCATTAGAATGACTTACCTGTGAACCACTGGTTATACCCAAATTTGTTAGATCTACAAATATACATTAATTTACTTGGAAATTACTGGGTATACCCAGATGTGTTAGGTCTATAAATATACATTTATTTACTTGTGAATTACTGGGTATACCCAGATGTGTTAGATCTACAAATATACATTAATTTACTTGGAAATTACTGGGTATACCCAGATGTGTTAGGTCTATAAATATACATTTACTTACTTGTGAATTACTGGGTATACCCAGATTTGTTAGGTCTATAAATATACATTTACTTACTTGTGATTTACTGGGTATACCCAGATTTGTTAGGTCTATAAATACATCTATCATTAGAATTACTTTATTGTAAATTACTGGGCATACCAAGATTTGTAAGGTCTATAAATACATCTATCATTAAAATGACTTACCTGTGAACGACAGGGTATACCTAAATTTGTTAGGTCTATAAATACATCCATGTCACAGCCTTTTATCCCAAAACCATTCACAGATGATCCAAATTGATTGATGCCAACACCTACAATAAATTAGAAAATGTAGATCAAGTTGTATACTAGAAAATAGGCTTAAATTATAGCATAGGAAATCACACAAACAGAAGTTAATTAACAATAACTAGGTTAACACATCAAACACAAGTTAATCAACAATTAACAGTAACTATGTTAGCACATCAAACACAAGTTAATTAACTTAACAATAACTAGGTAAACACATCAAACACATGTAAATCAACAATTAACAATAACTAGGTTAATACCTCAGACAAACACAAGTTAATCAACACTTAACAACAATGAGGTTAATACATCAGACACACACAAGTTAATCAACACTTAACAATAACTAGGTTAATACACCAGACACAAGTTAATCAACACTTAACAATAACTAGGTTAATACCTCAGACAAACACAAGTTAATCAACAATTAACAATAACGAGGTTAATACCTCAGACAAACACAAGTTAATCAACAATTAACAATAACGAGGTTAATACCTCAGACAAACACAAGTTAATCAACACTTAACAATAACTAGGTTCATACATCAGACACAAGTTAATTAACACTTAACAATAACGAGGTTGATACATCACAATCATGTAAACATTACAAAATTAAAATTTACTGATGAATAAAGTAGGATACATAGACAGGAATATAACATATCCTGGACAACAACCATTATGTAAAACAATTTAGACAGTGAAAACCATTCATACATCAAGCTAAATTTTAAGTGAATCATTGTGTTTCTTTTTTCATAAAATCCATTTAAAATCATTTTCATCAATCGATAATTTTTTGTAACATCTAAAATTTCAAAACCCGGCAGAATGACATTTTTCAGCTATTAAAAAAATCCACAAAATCTAAAGATTTTTTTTTCAGATCTTTATTAAGACAAGACTGTTCTATCATCAAGTTTATTGATAACCAGCTATTAATTGACAGTTACCTGAAACATCTTGTCCCGTTTGCGTCAATTATGAAGATAAATTGTGCTGAATCTCTTAAATACATATCATGGAAAGAGTCATTGTCATACCTAAATAGTTAATAAATATGACAATATGTTACATAGTTAGAGGGATAAATCTTTGATGGATGAATTTTCTTGTCACATCATCAAAGGATTGTATTACTAAACAGCAGACCAAGTCTACAACATCTGTTTTCTATCAAATCCATATCCTACAAGAGGACCACAGAGTCTGTAACATATTGATCTCTAATGATTTATTAAAGAAAATAAACAGGCAAGTGAGCTTAAAAGCATATAGCCTTAAAGTTTACTTACATACATGTACAAATAGTTATCAAAGAAACAAACAAACATAAACACATTTTGTTTTTCTGATCATTTCCAAAACTACATGGGCACAACAAGAGAACAATGGGAACTTACATATAAAATTTGAGAAAGATCCATTCAGTACTTCTCAAGAAATAGCAATAACAAACTTTCGAAGTCAAAATTCAAGATGGCCGCCTTTCAGCCATTTCGTTTTCCTGATCTTTTCTTAAATTACATGGGCATAACTAGAAACCAAGGGGAACCTACACATGAAATCTAAGAAAGATCCATTCAGTACTTCTCAAAAAATAGCACTTCAATCAGTCCCAAAGACTGAAGGACAAAATTAAGGACTGGGAAACCTACACATGCAGTTAGATCCATCCAGGACTTCTTAAGAAATAGCGATAACAAAAATTGTTTCTGACGGATGGATCACGGACGCAGTGCGATCTGAATAGCCCACCATCTGATTGGTGTTGGTGGGCTAAAAACATACAATACTTGGTAATGAGAGACAGAAACATCGATAGATGTTATTTGACAACCCTACCTGGAAAGAACATGGAGAGGACATCTTCCAGAGTTTTACAGATGACATAGCGTGACTGGAGCTCTTGTGATGTAACTTGGATCATGTCAGCTAGCACACCCATCTCCGCCTGAATCTGAATGGACATTTAATACAACCTAATAACTATATCAATCAAACTTAATCAATATTAATTGTGGATATTTATATGGAGAAGGCAGAGTTTTGTAGCATTTTCCCCCTTCATCCCTTTACTCTATATGGAATCACTAATTAAGTGATGTTCACACAAAAAAGGTGTTAAACAAAGATACTGAAGTGATGAGACCTGTTCACAAAAACCAGGCATCAATTAAAAACGATCAGTTTCACTGAAACTTTTCTAATGTTATCTCCTTACTTTTTCTGAATGTTTTAATATTTAAATGAAAATCTCACTACACTTTTTTTCAAACACTTGGATAAATGGACAGTACCCAGTGTTAATGTGAACTTTTGTATGATGTTTGATAGCATAAACTCAGTCATTTTTGTAGGAAATCTTTCTGAGAGTTCAGATCAACGTTTCCAAAATATTGATGTGTTCCAATACTTATGACCTAGTGGTCCTACAATGTTCAGCAGGAGTTCCACATAAAACTCAGGAGTCCAGGACTCAAATATTGGGGATTCCAAGCTCACTCATAAACTTTTGCTACAAAACTAAGAAAAATTTATTGTTTTTATAGTTGTCTTAGATTTTTATGTATTGCAAAAAATGTTTTTTTGTTGGAAACATGATATAGCAATTCTCATAAAAAGACACTTATACTGAACAGCTCTGGAGTAGAGTTTTCTATAGGTTTGTTCCGTGAATACTTACCCCTTTCTGAGTCTGTGACATCATTTCCTGTAGAAAATCCTCCACTGTGACGGGGAGATCAATAACGTCCTCCCTCTTTATCTTCGGTTTATCTGGAGGCTGCGGGTTACCACCGCCCTTTTTCTTCTTTTTCTTCTTCCCTTTCCCGGGAATACCTGGTTGACCTTTCTGCCCTTGCTGACCTTGATTACCCTGACCCTTGTCTTGACCTTGCTGACCATATCCACCTTGGAAATCGGGATAAATATTTGGATCATAATTTGGATCAAAATTTCTCATGTTACTTCCGTACCCACCATCCATCTGCCAGTGGGGTTCATAACCTGGATCTCCAGTTGGGTTGTGGAAGTCTGCCTGCCCCATTTGTGTGTCCCAGCAAGGATCATACTGACCCTGGGGTGGCCCATGTGCATGCTGAACACCTCCAGGCTGGTTCCAAGAGTGATTTTGTTGACCTCTCTCTTTCTGCCATGGGAAGTAGGGTGTTTCAGAAAGCTCCTTAAAGTCACGCTTCCTTACATTTAGTTTGGTACTGTTGAGGATGTGTGGATGAGTGTAGCTCAAACAATTGTCAGCCGCCTGGTCATACTTAAACTCTATTATGGCATACTGGGGGAACTTCTGTGAACAGAATTCCAGATTTTTATTATTTAGTTGTATATTCAAATAATTATTTGAAGATTTCTCATGTGAGTCCAGACAACAATTTCTAATTTTTATTATGAGTTCAATTACAGATACAACAATATAAGGTGAGAAGTGAAAACTCAGGTGAGTTCCACAGGAAAAACATGCACCAAAGACTCGTGTTTTTCATTTGTAAACAATTAACTTTTATAGTATTTGTAAGACCAGTGTTATCTGCATATTCTAATTCTAATATTTCATTTCTTTGCTTCTACTTTTAATGAATTAGGCCTATGGCATGAAACATTTTTATATTCAAGAGTTTGATAAAGAAATCATCTCCATTACTGATGGAGAGAAATTTGGATAAGATGAAATAAGAAACAGATCCCTCCACTGGAGAAATTATTCTAGTACCTATAATCACATTGAAAATCATATTATGAAATTGCATAACACGACTAGAAAAATATAACCCTCTGTGTCTGCTTTCATAAAACTTCCTTTTCCAAATAAATAAATACCTCATCTTTCTTGTCAAAAATCACTTTGTCCACTGGGCCAAAGTTGTTGAAGTAGACTTTCAACTCCCATTCAGTAGTTTTTGGTGGGAATCCCTTCACAAACACGCTACACATAGCATGTTGCTTTTTCTCTCTGTAGTAGTTGAGATGGTTAATGTGCCTTTTTCCTGATATGTGACGGTCATATTCTTCAGCTACAACAAGCAGTTTGTAATCAACTTTATATCACTTTCCTTTTTTTTTGCTCTACAATTAAAAATTCCAAACAAGCTATTGATTAAAAAGGGACAAGGGAGTAGATCATGACTTCATTAACTTATATACACATATATGTGTAGCTCAATTTTCCAATGGAACCAATACAGGTCTTCATTTTGATAGATGGTATTTTTCTGTCATTCATGATCATTTATATATTCTAATACCTTCATTTTGTGACATTTCCTCAGTATGTCAAAAGAGTTTCAAGAATTCAAGAATATGTCAGCTGGTGTTTCACCATTGATTAATGCACCAGGGCAGGGTTTATTTTTCTGGCACCGGTAAATTATAAGACATGAATCACCTGGAAATCTGACTATAATGTTGATATTCCCACATTTGTTCTTACAGATTTCAATTTAATAAGAATTTCACTTTATTGGCTTCTAAAATCTCCATTTCCATATGTAAATTAACTGGGGTTAAAGACAAGCGGTCACATTCATCCAATAACTGTCCAGATTTTGTGCTATTTCACATATCTAACTACCCTAGGTATATAGACAAAGGTCATTGATGTACACACAACCACAGAAGCTAGCTAATGGACTGAACCAGTGTCCATACCAATGAACCGTCAAAACATGGGAACTGTAGATACTGTACGATTTAACACAACTCAAAACTGATCATGATGTTCATGATGTTGACTTCAACTTTTTAATCCAAAAAAGGATATTCTGGAGTACATGCAATATAAACAAGAGATCCCAGTGGGATCTTAGCACCCACCATTTGAGGATCTGTTTTCAGTTCTTGAAGATTTGTTTATTTATTTATTTTTTTTTTGTTACAGGTGTTGTAAATGTTCATGAACTGGTCTTCATTGAATGATGGCACAAGATATTTTTATAAAGCACCTATTAGCAAATATAATTTGAAAAAGATCCCAATGTATTATTAGATAGCAGTCAGTTACAGGTGATAATGGACAATATGCTTGTGCTGTATTACTGTCGACATCCAAGATGGCTGCCTGTGGGCCACCTTGATTTCAAATCAGTCCAAAAAAGGTACAATGCACAACTAGGGACCAAGGGAAACCAATACCTATGAAATATCAGAAGGATCAATCCAGTACTTCCTCAGAAATAGCTGTAACAACATTTTACTCTCAAAATCCAAGATGGCTGCCTGTCAGCCATCTTGATTCCAGATCAGTCCAAAAAAGGTAAAATGCACAATTAGGGACCAAGGGGAACCTGCATATGAAATTTGAGAAAGATCCATCAAGGATTTTCCCAGAAATGGCGATAACAAACTTTTGCTTTCAAAATCCAAGATGGCCACCTGTCGGCCATCTTGCATTCGAATCAGTCCAAAAAAGGTACACTGCACAACTGGGGACCAAGGGAAAGTTCCATATGAAATTTGGCAAAGATCCATCCAGTACTTTCCAAGGTATAGCGGTAACAAACTTTTACATCCAAAATCCAAGATGGCCATCTGTCGGCCATCTTGAATTCGAATCAGTCCAAAAAAGGTACAATGCACAACTAGGGAACAAGGGGAAACTGCATATAAAATTTGAGAAAGATCCATCCAGTAATTTCCCAGAAAGAGCGGTAACAAACTTTTACTTTCAAAATAAAAGATGGCCGCCTGTCGGCCATCTTGAATTCGAATCAGTCCAAAAAAGGTACAATGCACAACTAGGGACAAAGGGAAACTGCATATGAAATTTTAGAAAGATCCACCTAGTACATTCCCAGAAACAGCGGTAACAAACTTTTACTTTCAAAATAAAAGATGGCCGCCTGTCGGCCATCTTGAATTCGAATCAGTCCAAAAAAGGTACAATGCACAACTAGGGACCAAGGGGAACCTGGATAAGAAATTTGAGAAAGATCCATCCGGTACTTTTCCAGAAATAGCGGTAACAAGAATTGTTTACGGTTGGACGATGGACCACGGACGCAGGGTGATTTGAATAGCCCACCATCATCATGATGATAGTGGGCTAAAAATCTCAGCAAATGTCCCTGCTGGGACATTAATATAGTAACAGAGGTTAATATCAACTTCAATGCCTTTGCTAGGAATTAAACCCGGAACCTCTGGCTTACTAGTCTGATGCTCAACTGATAAAGCTAAAGGAAAAATTTCTCTAGCTGCGCAGTATGTTGCTGGTAGGATTTTACAATATGATCAGACAAGCCATTAATAGCCCTCCGTATATAAAAAGAAATGGGTATCATTGAGCATCAGTTTAAAGTTTATTCTATTGAATCTTTAATAGAGCCGTTTTCACGAGGAAAATCTGCATCGCCATCACATAATGTCTCAAATAAAATCGTATAGGTTTGTTCAATGTTTGTTTTCCACAACAAATGAAAGGACCTGGCACATGACATGTGTTTGCTGTGATAAGGTAATCACTTTCCTAATGTATATCTAGTGATGACATCTATCTGTCCTTCTGGCTATTGTTACGTTAGACATACTAGTTCACATGAAATGAAAATGTTGGCTTTTTAAAAGTAGCCTAAAACTTGCAATCTGGGTGGAAGCTTTAAGTATAATGACCCATATTTTCTTAGGCGTGGTTTTAAAGTGATGCCTAGCCACTATTTAAAATGATAAAAACAATTGAATGACTACATCACTGTAATATCTTTCAGTCTATTTTCAGTCCTACTGAAGGCCAACACTGTTCTGATCGTTAAGAATCTAATGAAAGGTCAGTTGTTACTGGTAAGAATTGGTATAATACTGGTAATTTGATGCAGCCCTAGCGATTAAATTTGTGTAAAATGTTTTTTTATTATTCTGAAATGAAATGCTTTGGTTTGATTTTTCCAGTAGCAATATCTCTGATCTTGAACTTTTCCACTATGTTGTTTTGCTTCTGTAATTGTGATGTATCAGGATGTCAGTTCTAATCTTTGTATATAAGCATTTATTATTAATTACAGTGATTACATCATATAAGACTATACAGCTAGAATATACAGGGGAAACTTCCAGTAAACAATGTGTAGCCTATGATTTGATGACAGATCAACAGACATGCCGAATGTAAAGCCAACGAGTGCCAAAACGACAATTTCCTGTATTTGTACCAACATTTGATTAAATACCCAAAACAAAATAGACACACAAATGTAGCTAGCACGTGAGATGCTTGTGACATGCTGCTTACAACCAGCCTATCAATCACGGCATCAATTACCTGTGTTGATTGTGATATCGCAGATTTCACAAATCACAAACATTTTCAAGCCGTGTTTGGGATGGAGTTCTCCCTGAAGTCACCGATTCATCTAAATGCCCGCCGCATATAGCGACGAACAGGTCTAACTGATTGTCAGAATATCTTGCAACCAGTAAACATAGATTTTCTGCTTTGGCTTCACCAATATTTGACTAATCTAGCGAATTATTGCAGATAATTGCGTTTTTCCTCGTTCTACGAACGTACAACCGCATGAACCTGGTAACACTGTCGTTATCCTATGATCACGGTAAAGGGAGACCGGCATGTCGGGCTGAGCTAAGTGTATCTTTGTTGTTATATACACAAACAGGAAATCATCGCACGTGTGTAATGTATGAAACAGTACTGTTAATAATTACCGCCAGAGAAATGCGTTGTCAGTATATCAAAGTAGCAAATATTAGGACACATTTAATACAGTCAATATAATGCTATTTAGATTCTAAAATACCAGTCGTTTTTAATGGATTCATATACGTGCCTCTCCTGAATGTTGTTGCCTTGTATCTTGTATACGGCAAAGGTAAAATGTAAAAAAAAAAAAAAACACACACACACACACACACACACACAATTTGCCAGTTCCTTACTGTATGCGAATGTCGGTGTATGTGCGATTCCTAATCTTCATTTGTCTGATGATGGTAATCGTGTTTGAAGCTCAATATTTCTACATCATTTATGAAGTCTGTGCCGATGACTCGCGGTGATATAACAATAAACATAATATTGCTAAGAGAGATTTCAGGAGCAACAAGTCTAAGATGGCAGCATTAGTATCGTCAACTGCTAATCTTTAAATAAAATAGTTATTAGAAGTTTCAGCTTTAGAGAGACCATCGTCTACAGCGATGCGGAGTGCTTTAATATTAATGTCAAAATACTTTTTCTCGCCAATGGTAGCGGAGTGTTTTAAGTTCAATATAAAAATACTTCTACTCGCCAATGGTCGCGGAGTGTTTTACGTTCAATGTCAAAATACTTTTACTCGCCAATGGTAGCGGAGTGTTTTGAGTTCAATGTCAACATACTTTTACTCGCCAATGGTAGCGGAGTGTTTTGAGTTCAATGTCAACATACTTTTACTCGCCAATGGTAGCGGAGTGTTTTAAGGTCAATGTAAAAAACACTTTTACTCGCCAATGGTGGCGGAGTGTTTTGAGTTCAATTTCAAAATACTTTTACTCGCCAATGGAAGCGGAGTGTTTTGAGTTCAATGTCAATTTTTTTTCTCGCCAATGGTGGCGGAGTGTTGTGAGTTCAATGTCAAAATACTTTTACTCGCCAATGGTCGCGAAGTGTTTTGAGTTCAATGTCAAAATACTTTTTCTCGCCAATGGTAGCGGAGTGTTTTGAGTTCAATGTCAACATACTTTTACTCGCCAATGGTGGCAGAGTGTTTTGAGGTCAATGTAAAAATACTTTTACTCGCCAATGGTAGCGGAGTGTTTTAAGTTCAATGTAAAAAAAAACTTTTACTCGCCAATGGTGGCGGAGTGTTTTGAGTTCAATTTCAAAATACTTTTACTCGCCAATGGTAGCGGAGTGTTTTGAGTTCAATGTCAATTTTTTTTCTCGCCAATGTTAGCGGAGTGTTGTGAGTTCAATGTCAAAATAGTTTTACTCGCCAATGGTAGCGGAGTGTTTTAGTTCAATGTCAAAATACTTTTACTCGCCAATGGTAGCGGAGTGTTTTGAGTTCAATGTCATTTTTTTTCTCGCCAAAGGTAGCAGAGTGTTGTGAGTTCAATGTCAATTTTTTTTCTCGCCAATGGTAGCGGAGTGTTTTGAGTTCAATGTCATTTTTTTTCTCGCCAAAGGTAGCGGAGTGTTGTGAGTTCAATGTAAAAATACTTTTACTCATCAGAGTATATTTGTTTATATCTTTATTGAAAGGGCTTTTATAGGTTTTACCCGTTGTCCAATTCCATTTGTCCATCAAGAACTTTGGACAATAACATATTCTGAAATGAAATGTATTTTTCACCTTTTGAAATAAAGACAATTATACGTAACGCACCTATTTTATGTAATTATAGCTGACATTCTGCATGGTAGGACAGAGTTAGTTAAACATTAAAGAGTAACAGCTTAAAATGGATTGATTAGATTTATATGTAATGTCGAACGCTAGGAATAGTATCATATTTCTAATGTAGAAAATACAACCCGTGTCAGTTTTACAATATGTCCACTGTATCTTAAAGAACACATTGATATTGTCAACAACTTGTTGGTATTAGACAGGAGTCTGTAGCCCCAACCCCATAGTTCCAAGAGTAAAAGGCCGTGTCTCTAAAACATTGTATTTCAACGGCATCAAGACTTGGAGCTCTCATTCTTCCGGTATGAAATCAGGGGCTCGAAAGCATGTTAAAACGAGTTTTAAGTGATACTTGGAATAGAGAGCGTATTTCAATATCATCTACCGATATTATGGTATGTAGTTGTTGCCCAAATGGATCACAAATGTCAATTGAAGTTTTCTCTTGGTTTACCTTCTATTTCTTCAATCCTGACGGATTGTTTATTCGTCTAAGGTTTTATTTGTCAATGTCTTTCTTCGTGACTGAAATTAGCTCATATTGTTAAAATGAACAGACAAGTGATTGCTTGTGAATTCGGGACTCTTTCTGTTTTCTAATCCAGGATTGTTTATGCACTCTTTTTTCCACAGTAGATAACATTTTCGGCTGGAATTAAACATTTCTTCACCTGATGTCTACTCTTAGCGCTCGTTGATATACGATATATATATATATATATATATATATATATATATTTTTTTTTTTTGGGGGGGGGGGGGGGGGGTTGACTATCATTACTAGGATGAAATTGTGTTATATAATAAACGCCTTTAATATGTATAATGTACCTGTTCTTATTGTCTTTGTACATTTTAAGACTTTTATCTTTGATTGAATAGTTTTGATTTTGATTATCAAATATACATTATTCGTTAGTATGATCTTATTTTGTAATCAACATGGAGAGATCATCGCTGGGAAAAGTCAGACATTAAGTGGTGAAGCGTTGACATTGGCCGGAAGTGCCGGCATAGATTAAACAAAACACCAAGAATATACCAGAAAGTCAAGATAATTATAATCCATACTCAGATTCAATAAACTATGACAAGATTTGAACAAAATAATAATTTACACGGCGACTACTAGAAAAGTACAAAGAGAATAAGACTTTGTGTTTTGGAAGCATAAGCGTTTTCTTCTTCACCACGACACCCGCTGTGTATGTAATATCATGTTCTCAAAATGAGAACAAGGTATACAACTGAGGAACCAAATCTAACGAGGATCAAAGTAAACGGCACCATATCTCGTCAGCTGCATTAGGGCCATTCGTCGAGACTATGTCTTGTATACCACATCAAACCTAGAATTGGTAGCGATGACGTCATTCATGACCTCCACAAATTTCACATGGAAAGAAGGGATCAACAAGGGATGTTTCCGTTTAATGTATTATAACCTCGTTTCGGATACCAACCATCCTAATTCACGAGTTAACGTTCATAGCTTATTTGGCTTCTTAATTAAACAATTGGATTTAACTTATACACTACCGGTCTGGAAAATTTCATTTTGATTTTTCATGGATCAAAAGAACATATGTACTTTTCTTTGTCAACCATTTTCTGACCAATCAGAATGTATCTTCTCTGTGTCCAATTAGGATCATAAATGACAGCGAAAACAAAATACTGAAAACACAATATTTCTGTTTTTGCGGTTTTGTCTCTGTTTTGTAACTTGAAATAAGGATAACATGTCTATTTGGTAATGAATATGCATGTCCTTTGTTTTGCTATTTCCGAGTCTATCATTTCACATAATGAAAGATAGATGTCAGAAAAGAAAAAAATCTATTTCATACTCAGGTGTATTTCGAAGTCTCGTGTTGATTATCATGCAGTTTTAAAGTCGAATTTTTACCATTTAAATCTTGTTCTATTCATATCTTTGTGTACCGATATTTTCTCTCGTCACGTTGTCATTCATGTTATAGAATATAATGGAACATACTAATGATTTTAAACGATTTACAACCAGTGTAACGAATTTCACTCAGTCACTATATGTAGTATATAAACTTCAATCTCAATAGGTGTGTTCTCAGTTCAACAACAACATTTGTTTCTTCAGTAATATCTTCAGTGTTGGCTCTAGATACCACGTGGCTGTGGTTCCTGATAGCAAATCTACTTGTATAACATGCTAAGTGATAATTCAGTGTTCACAAATAGTTAGGTTTTGTAACTGTCATCGGATGCTTTTGTTTTTACAAATTAATTTGTAAATGTTCAACTTGTATCATATCATTGTAATTTTGAATAAAAGATAGTATTAGAGTTTAATGCGCGAGACCTTTCCTGAAAATTATAAATAAAAATAAATACATATAAATCATCTTCATCACATTTCAAAATATTAAATCCGTGAGCTCGTGTACTTTCGATTTCAAGTTGTTAAGGAATTTAGACTCACAGTATCATTTATTTGGGTGAAATTGTATTTGTAAACAACATTATGCCCATTAACTAGACATATGTCTCGACAGTTGACAGTGATTAATTAATTCACATGTTGATTGATTAAGGATGACCTCCTTGTACTCAAACGTATCAAATCTGAAATTATATCCGTGTTTGTGGGAAATTGTAATCATTGTTACTAAACGGTTGATGAGTCAATATTTATCCCTGGTCACGTCTTTACAAACATTAATGATTGATGTAAGACAACATATTGTGTAGTTGCAGAATAAAGAAGGTATATTGTTTTACTGGTCTCATACCAATGATATTAAAGCTGACTGTTGAGTGAAAAATCGATAAGATAAGATATTTACAATATATTTTCAAACTTTTGTAATCAGCTGACAAACGTAACTTCCCAACTGCTTTATAAAGATTTGATCTGCAGGAATTATTCATTTTGACGTACGACACTATTTTAACTCGAGGCAAAAATAGGAGATAATCGTATTATGTCATATTGACAATCTCACCCTCCTTAACTCCTCTAAATCAGCCACTTACCCAAGGCTCTACAATAAATCCAGCCAGCAGGGTCAACACAACGTCAAGCTTTCTGCGTTTGCACTTCTAGATAATAACATACCGTTTCACCAAGCTATTGCTTTTAAAT